GCATTTTCACACCAAAGCAACCAAAAGGCTTTTAAGATAAAACAACCACTGAATGCTTATTTTTAGCAACTGAATCTGGAATCATGGCACTTGTCAACCCCGAAACATTCCATCGAACACAAAGGCATTCCCATCCGTGTTTTCAGATATCTTTAGCGACGAGACAGCCTGAGCGGCAATCAAATCAGCGGATATTCCCATGTTGTTATCCCAAGCATCTCTTGCGAATGGCTTATATGGGATTGACCAGTAGCTATCTCCAAGTCCATAACCATTTGACACAAACCCAATCCCTTGAACTGCATAGCTAGCGCAACTTTGGCGAGGAGCATAGTTGGTTCTTTCACCTCTAAACAGATCCATCTTCAAACCCTTTTCTTCCCCAAGTATGACCACCCGAGATGAATCATCAGAATCTTCGCCCAGTAGGACGTGCAGAGCAACAGCTTCTGCGATAGCAGCTCCTTCTTCATCTAGCCTTTGTTGCTCTTCCAGTTTCAACTGCTTCTTCTTCTCTAGCTCAGCCCGTATGGCCGCAGAAGTAGCAAGCGCTTTCTCCAGACGTCTCTTTTTCTTCTCAGCTTGTTTGATCCGGTCGAACTCATCTTTACCATGCTTCTTCGCTTTCCTAGCAGCAGGTTGAGCTTGCTTGCACACCGGGTGATTCATGATAACTTGCTTATAATAATTCTAACTAAATAACTGCACTAAACTCGCTGACTTAGATGATTTCGAAGATTACACCCACTCCGGTATATAGGAATACCTCATTTTACGGACAATACAATCCCAAAAAGAAACAACTGGAGACAACTGAAGGGACACGTTATAAGAATTTGCAGACTTATCCTTTGGAATCATTCGTCCTACTTTCCCACACCCCTTAGACTCGCCCATTTTCTGCATTCACAGATTACTTCATTAGTTCAAAGGTGCTCATAAAACCACTCTAAAGCAGCAACATAATAGCATTCAGACTTGTACAAGCTAACAATTCTAGTTGCAAAATTTAACCAACCAAGCAGAGACCAAATCATTGAATAACAACACAATAATGAGAGGGATCCAAAAAGGACACCAAGTCCTAATAAAAACCTGATCATTAAAAGCCTAATCGCAGAGTAACATGAAACTTGAACAAGTCATGTTAACATACAAAGAGCATCCAGAGAAAGCGTTAATTACACGAAAGCAATCGAAGAAAACCAGATCTGCCTCAGAAACTCATGTCACATCAAAATTCAACCATGGTAATCGACTAATTAGCCTTGAAACCAATACATAAGCATTAATCGAAACAAAATCCTAGAAAGAAGGCGATTGGATTCGGAAATTGAAAAGAAAAACAGAGGAAGAAGAAGATGATGATGATATTCGATTCAAACCTCTACAAAATGGCATAGAAGCGGCTACCACGAAGAACTCCTCTTAATTATCAGATAACACAGAGACGCGCAAGTAAAGTTGGTGTTTGGATCGTACAGAGAGAAATCAGAGAATCGAGAGAAATCAGAGAGAATTGAAAGTAACAGATAGATCGTATTAAAAGAAAGAGAGAGGGAGAGGAAGGGTAGTAGACCGTCTTGTTATCATCAAATGAGGATAAGCCACGTGTAGAATGATCACTGACTTTATTGTAGTGTAAGTTTTCAATTGGGACTTTAGGACTTGGCCGGTGCGACTTCGTCTATTGTGGGACCCGTCAAGGGTTATTAGCAGCCGTTAGATTCGCTCTTGTTTTCCCGGCTGAGATTACGTTCTCAAATTTTAGATAATGAGGGTTTTTCTTTCTTGGAAAATTATCAATATAACCCAAAAACAAAAGAAGTAAAATTAAAAGAGTATATCTATTTTGATGCGTCAAACTTCGTAATTAACACGATCATAACACGTGTTAGTTAACTGATCATATTTTGATACATGTTAAAAATTATAATTAGATTTTACAACATATCAAACACGATCGTGACACATGTTAGTTGGCCGATCAGATTTTGAAACATGTTTAAATAAATTTCAATTAGATTTTATCACATATCAAATAATTTTATTTTAAACATAAATTACATATTTGTATTTATCATCTAGATATTTTGATTTTAAATAAAAATAGATAATACAACAAGGGACCATTGCAAAACAAAAATGTCACTTTTGGTGTGTCCATTTTCAAAATGTCACTTGTCTATTTTCAAAAAAATTACTAATTAAGGATTTTTAAATTAGATAATTGC